TTTTTTATAGATTTATTGTAAAGAACATAACTAATTATCTGCTTTTTGAACCCTTTTAGGCTTAGGGTATTTTAGCCTAACTACCTTCTCTTACTACCCCTTCCCCCACCTTAGGTAACCTTTTTACGACCCCCCGTTGCGACAGTCGCATCACAAGCTTGACCCTGGTCAACATTGACAGAGCTTTGCAAGTCCTGAAAGATGGCTACAAAGTGTCCGCTCAAATCGTTTTCCACGTAAAGTTTGAGGCTGAATGACATTTTTTGAAAACGGCCAATACATGCATTTATCTAACACATCGTACGTTTAAAGGCAGCGTCCAGGCAAGATCCATCCACCCGATTAGCACATAGTTGTAAAGAGAGGCCCATGAGTGTCCGATCTGCGTTGGTCCAATCCTTTGACGTGCACTCTAAAAGAAGATACGGGCCTGTGATACGTATCACAAGCCGCCCCTTCATATCACAAGTCACCCCTGAGGACGAGTGCTTACGCTGGTGTGCGGTTGCATTGCAGTTGCATTGCAGTTGCCCTGCACATGCAATGCAACTGCATTCGTGCAGTTGCAGCTCCTCCCACTGGCATGACGATGGGGACGAGCAATTCGAAACTCGTCTGCTTCTTGTACAGAGGGTCCCCAAGAACCGGATTTTTTGGGAGTTTTGAACAATTTTGACTTTACAACTGTATTCAGGGCCACGAAAAGGCCCCAGAATAGCAGAAACATGAGAGGCGAATTTTTGCCCTGACGCTGCCTTTAACTACACACTTCCTGTATCTCCATGGCTAAAAGTGAAGAAATGGAAGTAATATACTGGGCTCCTCTTACAATACAATTATATAGCAGATACATTTAAGGGTATGATCATATACAAGTTTGTAGGTCCCATGGTCCTCTGAGTACTCATTTTTGAGTCAGAATCGCAAAAAAAAATAATGGACGACCTAATGCATGTTCCACCCATGATGAGTCTTATTGTTAGTTGCAGCATTTCGATAAGCGAGCTACACATGCAAAGCGACGCAGTAGCATGGAATTCAATCTTGAACGCCTCAATACTTTTGTTGCGACTATCACTAATGAACCGAGATGTAACTTTTGACAAAAGGAACTCGTCTAGAATCTGCAACTTGCTGATTCGCTTTCATTGTTAGAACAGTTTGAGCTGCGCTTCTAAGAAATCAAATTTTAAGAACTTCAACTTCTAAGAAATTTTAATCAAACCTTCTGAACCACCAAAGCTTGAGCCTGGAAAATTCGCATTTTTCAAATATTTTATTTATATGTATACTTTTTAAGAAAGAAATCTTAGCTTATTTGTGGCATGCTACTAAACTTGAACTCACTTGCAGCTAGTGAAAAAAGAATCTAAGGCTGCTTAAACCCGGTGAAGTTCCCCATTTTTCGATTGCTTAATTAGGTTGCAGCTAGTAAAGAAGAATTCACTGTGCTTATCGCTCTCACACATTAACGTTTATTCTGCAGACTAGTTTGCATCATAGAGCGCGGCATTTGAGAATTAGTTTGAACGATATTTTTCAAATGAGCAATCTACCATAAGGATTGTCGAATAAGAAGATGCATTCACTCAATGGAGTGTAAATTTTACTGATTAATGCGGTGCATCCAGCAACGCTTTTGCTCAATAACTAGTTCTATTCATTGAAGAATGCTATCAGCAACAGTTCAAGTCCACCCAAAGCCAGGCGCTAGAGCTAGCTTTTTGAGTTTTAGAAGCCTCTTGGTAAGCATCTTTTTTTAACTTTGAAGCTTTTAAAACTCGAAGTAACCTCTGTCTTGAAGACAATACTGCCGTTTTGTAGGGCTCAGATTCCAGGCGGCTGCCTGAATCCTCCCCGTGTAACAACGTATGCTTCTGGCACTCAGCAGGGCTTCAGCAGCGAGTGATGGCTTCCGGAGGCGTGAAAAAATGTTTACAAAATAGTCCACAGGACGCGTATCAATAGGACCCTATTCTGAACTCAAACTTTTTGCCATGGTCAAGTTTCGCTATTTTCTAAAATTTTTTATACTGAATCCCCGAAGAAGTCCAAGGGCTGATAAAGCAACCCAATGGGGTACAAAACAGTTAATTTCTCCTTTCCACATTTCGTTTGAAATTTTTGAAAAATATTTGAATGAGTTTGAACTGCCCTACCACTGAATTTTAGTAGTTGTGTTTCAGACAGACATGCGCCAAACAATGGTAATAACAAAGCAAGCGAGCGTTTGTCGAGTCGAAATATCAATTCTCGAGTTTTCCGGGTACAGCCTGACGCGCGATCAGTATAATCAATCAATATAATCATGTTTGAAAACATGATTTTGATTTTATTTCCGCAGACTCTACGAATTAGAAAGAAACCATTACCCAAAAGAGGAATAGCGCTGCATCAATGACAACCGAGCTGCTCGCTGGTTGATGTTCTATGAGGTTTGTTCACCAATTATGAGATTTATAGCGTTAAAGATATAATGTGAAGGTTCCAAAAGGAAGCTATGAAAGGAATGGAAAATTGTTTCCCATGCTGTAGGGTTTGCTTTATCATCCCGTTTCTCTAAATTATTCGAAGATTTAGTATAAAAATTTAGGTAGATTACGAAATTTAACCGTGACAGAAAGCATGGGTGCCAGATTCTGGTGATTTTGGGAGCTTGTTCATTGCATTCCTTGCACCATTGATTTATTCAAGTTGATTACCATGCATCTTCGAACTCTCCAAATTGTTTCTTTCCTGGCAGCATTATGCATGGTGCTCGTAAATTGTCGGAAGATGCATGAAATTCTTTGAAAATCTTGTAAATTCATCAGCTTTCGACTGAATGAATGTGCCATGCACATCAGGCATTCCTCACTCGGAACCCAACAGTCCAAACAGGAAAGGTTTTTTGGAATTTTAGAAGTATGCCCCTCGCAACAGATGTTCACTTGGAGGAAGAAATGATAAGGAATGCGTACTTCACACAAACAACGTATTCACAGAGATTACTCGATTTCCCTAAAAAAATTTCTTAAATGTCCATTTGCGGTATGTTTTACATTTAAAAGAAAGGCAAGAGACTGGAAGTGACACTATTAGATGAGAGAACGCTTTCACCATCTTCAAGGTACATTTTTTCTTATTAATTGCGAGTTCATAGGATCTATTTGAGCCAACAAAGATCAATTCGTCGCTCGCAGCTGACGAAAACGGGATTTCAACACAATTACTGTGGGCTCTGTAAAGATGTGATCAGTCAAAACCGTAATGGAGATTAAGGGAATTGAGGCTAATAATGGCAGTATTTTCGGCAAAACAGATCATGCAGCAAGATTTGCATCTGAAACCCCAGGACGGTGGCGATGTTTCCGGTGGTAGTGAAATTAATCTCGAGGATATTCTGAACACACATGAAAAGCTGTTCTGTATAACTCAAAAACTAAACTTTATGACATAGAATAAAGACGGTGCTTCTAAATGTGATTTAAGCCGGATTTTGCTTGTCTATTCAATAGCTAAGTTCTCAATGTGGTATTTTTTTCAACGAGAAACGCTTAGGCAAAGGTTTCGAAACGCGACTGTTATTCAAACTTATTCAGAGTAAAGAGAGATTACTGCAATATAAAAATTTCAAGATTTCCAGTTTTTCCACAGTTTTCAACATTCTACAGAGTGTTCCAAAGATTATTCACACTGTTTATTGTAAGTAACTCTCTTCAATGTCTCCAAACTTCAGGTGCTCGTAGAGTTGACTTTGAGATTTAAAGTATCATGGAATCGTCGATATCTCCTTATAAGGGTACATTTGGGTAGATTTCCGCGAAGGGTTTCGGGATTGATAGGAATATACTGTCTTAGAACAACAACAAACAGGTTGAAAACAAGTTTATCAAGGTGAACCGTAAAAACTGCTTTTCCTGTCCTTAGAAAATGTGTGATTACACCACTGACAAAATTCAAAAAACTTGTAAAAACCTGTGTCATGATATCAGCATGGGGAAAACTTTGCTGAACAATTTTCAGAATTTTCTGGAGTTTTATTATCAATCAGTCTGTTTCACAATGACGTTGTAAGCTGAAAAATCATGATTAATTGCACATTAACGAAGGAAAATTGGAAATTTTCTTCGTACTGTGAACCTAAGTTGAAACAAGTTCTATAGAATGGTACTCAAAAATTTGCGAAAAACGTTAAAATGAGAGAGTTATTAACGATTAAACATGTGCACATAAGCTACGACACTCTGTATTAGTACACATGTAAGGTCTACAGATGTGCACATTCGATCTCGATTTTTAACACAAAGTAAAAAATTTAACTTAATTTTTGTTGATTTCGAGATTCAACGGATTTGGAGCAATGAGATCCAACAATCCGAATTGAACACACCGATCAAACTGAACAAAGTTTTGCCAGAGGGTTACCTACTATGCTCGGTGAAACGAACTGGAGGGTTGGTTAGAGACAAATATCTGGTAAGCTCAAGAAGCAGAAGTCAGTTGAGCAGCGTTGCTACCATCTCCTGAAAGGAGTTCTAAGAAGATTTTGCATGATGGTTCTGACCGGCAAAACAGATATCATATTTTTTGATGTCATGAGAATTGTACTTTGGTGTGATTTAGTGCTACAGAAAAGACTCTGACGTGCAAAATGAGCATTTTGCTCTGGATATATCGAATACTAGCCAAGATAGAGTCGAAGCTACGATGTGTAATTTTGAGCACTTCACCGTAAGATTACCGCTAGAAGCTGTCAAAATCGGACAAATCAAGTTCAAAAGTCTGGATCTGTCATTCTGTACGTTTTCCCATCCTGTGCACAATGTTTGCGTGCAAGGGGTTTTTGTAAATGTAGCAGCATGATCGTTTTGCATTCATCTTTCCATCCATTATAATGCAGCTCCAACAAAGTGAGTTGCCAGTATTAAACGTGGTAAAACTTCGTTTCTAGGAAACCCAGGGTAAATTTGCGGTATTCATCAAATTTTTTGAAGACAGATGTTTATTGCTTTTGTTTACGAGACTACCGCGCTGAGGTTAAGGCATTCGAAAAGCTTCAGCCATAGACTTGCTAGCAATGAAGCGGCTGAATCTCCTTCTGCTCTTGATCCAGGTTTATCTTTGATACCATTTTTAATCTTTAGTTTGTCGACTTCAACTTCTCCTTCAGGCAGAATGCATTTTGTGCTGCATTTTTGACAGAGTGAAACAAATTAGTTATGGTAGAGTTAGCTACATAAGTCTCACTGGAAGTGAGGATGAGTGCTTTGCTGCGTGCTATGCGGACAAGAACTGCAGTGCAATGGGATACTATACAGTTAGTTACTTGCATTATTACAAGGTAATGATCCATTATAAAGGATCTATGCAGCATTTTCCAACCTCGTTGATTTCTTCGTGCATTGGTCAAGTTTGGTATTGGGTCTATTATGGTTCATCTCGGGCTGACGTTTCGGCCTATAACGCCTTTTGAGAAGCCTGAAAGATCAAAAGCGATGCAAACGGTATTCTTAACCATCTCGTCGCTTCAGAAGACATTTCAACACTAGATAAGCTACGACGAAGGCTCAAAACTTGTGGGCGTGAAAGCGATTTTAATGCCGCATAGGACTATTGTGCAGTTACTGCCTACAGCTATGCTCTCCTTTATATACAGCACAGCTAATTAATACCAGTAGGTCGAAACCCACAAAGGCTTGACAAGGTGCCAGTTTAGTTGTCACGGCAATGCAGTCTTCTTTGTCTTTGTGATTGGCATTTAATGCTATTCAAATGCCTCGAATGTTTTTCGCGCTTTCTCAGACAATTGGTTTAGAAGTTCCGAAAATTTTTTAGAAAGCGCCGGCATCTCCTCAGCGGAGGTCATCCCACTTGTTTAGCGAAACCTCCCAGATTTCTTTCCTTGATGTTTCCACAAATAATGTATGAATCATTTTCCTCAAAAACTTTCCTTGATGTCTCCACAAATAATGTATGAATCATTTCCCTCAAAAACTCACACTTTGCACGCTGGGTATCCGTTGTACCAGCCCAAAAATTGAATATCCCAATTTCCTCATTCTTTTCACACTGAGCCACTATAGCTAACCCCAATCAAACTATAAATCCCGATTACAGCCTTTAAATCTCACGTTAACTAACTCTAGACATCAAAACCCATTAAAACTAGTTTATTTTGAAAGGAAGGAACAATACTGGACATATGCGACTTATTCATACTAATAAGTAATAAATACAGGTTCTAAGAGTAATGGTAACATTAGACAGAGAATTCAAACGAGACAAAACTAAAAAATATTTTACATATAAATCGATGCGATAACAACAGATACAGGACGGAAATTATTAGAACAATGAAAGAGGAAGGACCAAGAACATACATAATAGAAACGATCATTCAACAAGGGGAGCGTTAATAGAAGTCAGGGGCGGTGAACTGAGCAGATTATTTTCCTTGGAATGTAGAGGTATTCTTTGAGACTGCTACAATACGGTAAGATGAAAATCGAAAACCCTAATAGATAACGGCATATAAGCGAGTGCATATACATCAAAAATTACCTTGTGTAGATGCATTTTCAACTCCCTTTTAAGGCACCTGCTGGGTCAAACTATGGCGCCCTAGCTCACTCCACAACAAATCCGTATCTCTGAGAGTTTACGGATTTGAAATATCAAAGTTCGAGTTTTTCGGGTACAGCCTGGGACGCATTCGAAACGAGTTTTTTTTTGTATTTGCAACACTCTGTGTGTCATAACAAAACATTCATGGTTAAGTTTTATTGTCATTACAAGCCAAAATTTCACGACCTAACTCTTGAAGCATTTTCTATGTACGCTTAAAAAATTCATGTTTAAACGAAAAGAGCGAGACTGTTTAAGGCCACCATTCGCCAAAATTGTGTAAATGAAAAAAGTGGTAGTCTTCCGCAGCCAGGTTCAAATACCCAAGTTTCTAAAGATTATAACATAGTTACTCCCCTGTAAATCCTGAAGCGAAGATAAGGTCATGAACCGTACGACGGTATAAGAGATCGCCGGTACCATCAGGCGCTCTTCGTATGTGGAAAGCAGGCGGGAATAGGCTGGATTAAACCATCAATGATACAAAATAGTAAACACCTTGCGAACACTCTCCAAGCTTCGTTAGTGCTTTCTCATAAAGGGGCCACACTCGTTTTGCATATTCGAGCACTGGATTATGAGGACTTTGAAAAGTTTTGATGTCCCTCCCGAGGCCCGCTCGGGCCGGTCAGAATGCTCTTTACTAACTCGGTTTACTAACTCAGTTCTTCCTTGCACCTGTGGTGCAAGGAAGAACTGAGCTAATCAAAGAGAGCTCCTCTAATGCCGTATGCCTAAGCTTGAATAATAATTTAGATTGGTTTATACGGGCGAACGCTTCGGACATTCGAATTATATAGCATCAACTTCGTGACCATTGTTGGACTCAATCCAGTCATGTGTGTAGTCTATTAGCTGGGTGACGATTGATGCACCGCTCACGAAACTATGCTTTTCCAAGGGCATTATTTTAAACCTTTCAAACCGGTCCAGGAATGTATCGCGTGTGATCTTTTCTAATATCTTGCAAGTACACATAAATTTTGGGTCATTTACTATGGGCAGTGATAATGGATTTTTTTCCAAATGAAGGTATTTCTCCACAACGAAAAGAGATATTGAAAATATGGGAGACAGGAATGTTTGAATATTATCTGGATTAGTCTATTGAAAGCTTCAAAAATTAACTATTTGAGACTCTTGAATAAGCGTCCGCATAGGGCACGATAGTGGGAGCTGGGTACACGTGCCGCAGATGGGCGTCGAGATGCGTTGGAAGTAGCTATTAAAAAGGGTCGTAGTGAATGGATAGCTCATATATAAGCGGGAAAATCAAGTTAGGTTATTGTAATCCAAGGAAATGGTAATCATGCCAACTCATTTGCCAGCATAAGATGTTCTTGCAATAATTAAATAAGCAAAGCGGGGCTCGGTTGTTGGAGTAATACTAATCAACCTTGCGCAATTGATTCCGAGGAGAGTCCAATGATTCCGAATGCATATCAAGTAGTTTCACTTCTTGTAATTTAACTATAAACAAGTTAACAAGCTACAGTGATTGAGAAGAGAAGCGAATGGATTAGACCTGAACTAACATGATGGCAAGACTCGGGTTAGTAAGACATGTGGAAGAAAATATTACGGAAAAAACACAAACCGATAGTTGTACTTGGTATGCATCTTGCAGTTAGATCAGGTAATCGCACGTGGCCATCTCAGTGTCTTAAGTTTTCTTTGAAAGGGATGCCGATATTACATGCTAAAACTCAATAGGTAGCTTTTGTATAAGGTTTGGTACACATTCAAAAAAAATCGTAGTTCGATAATGTTGATTTCTTTCGCCTAACGTTTCGTTGGTGATAACTAGAAAAACAGCGAATCCTTTTTATGAGTGAGTTTAGAGACTCAATACTTGAAAGGCCTTAATATAGTCTTCCCTCTGGAAATCTTGAAAGCGAGTACCAACAAGGGAATGGTCAGAAGTTGAAGTGGCCAAACCAAACAAGCTGTATATCATTCGATGCAGTATAAAACGCTGACTTCGAATCTGTCTTCCTTATCTGCTTCCCGCTTCTGTGGACGAAGCTACAAGCGCTTTTATTGTGAAAAAATCACACATAAAAACAGCGAAATTGAACACATTGTTGCACTTTTAGCTCGGCTTCTGGCTTCAAAATTTTAAGTAAGCTAGCTGAATGTTTTGGCCCAGCATTGAGGCGCACGAGGCTCTGTACGGCTAAATTTTCAATTTCACGCGTAATTTTTAAGCAAAATAATGGTCTTTAATGGCTTATAACTTCGTCCAGAAAAGCGATAAGCAGATAAAAAGACAGATTTAGAGTCAGCGCTTCATGCTACATCTAACGCTATGCAGCTTGTCTGGAATGGCCACTTCGATTTCTGACCATTCCCTTGTAAGTCGTATATCACTCTGCGGCAAAAGTGACTTTTGATATTGATATTTTTGATATTTTTCGAACGTTCTTCATAATTACAACGCATTTGAGGAGGCCAGCGCCGCGTAGTGCAGTTACATACCTGCGCGCGAGCGCTACCGTGTGCTACAGCATGCAGGAACCATGCCCGGAAAGCGGCGTGGTCCTCGTTTTAGCCATTACCTTCCTGCTTCTTTCTTAGCTTATTCGCTGTCCTGCTTGAAATTTCGCTTCTCCTGTCTAAAACTCTACTTCGGTACTTGCTAAAATCTCTCAAAGTATCACCGCGCGAAAAAAATGGAGGTTTGAGGCATGAAAGAAAAAAATCTGAATCATTTCATTTGAGAATTTGGAGAATGGCTAATGCTCTTCCTCCTTACAGCTAAAGGTGATCATGTGAGGTGTAATCGTATATCGTACAGGGTGAGAGAACAGTAACACCGTTTAGGTTTGAGCGAACAACGCGTTGAGTAACAAACCGTTGTTCACTCAAACCTAAACGGTATACGAGGTATGTCCGCTGGAACACGAGTCGATATAATGAATAGAACATCCGGAATCAGTCAATCGAAGAAGGGTGGATGAAATAAAGGATGTCATGAGGAAAAACACTTAAAGATTTGATACCTCCGACCTATGCTGCGAAAAAAATTACATCCGGTTTTAAGACAGATCTCAGGTGAGCATAAAAGCAAGAAAAATGAGAAACCGCTGCTACAAAAATGGGAAACCACAAGTTACAGTGATAAAAACAAGGCCCGCGACATTGTGCGCAGCATGGCCCCTGCACGCTGCGCGCACGGTAACGCTCGCGCGTGGATGTGTGAGTGCACTACGCGGCGCTGGCCTCGTTAAACGCATTGTGTTTGCGGATGTGTTGGACTGAGATAGCAACGGTAGAAGAGTGATCGTGTAAAAACTTTCCAGGCGCTCTCCAGAAACTGTTTGTGCTTCACCAGCAAGAGGTGAAGCACAAACACTTTCTCCACACCTGATTCGCGTACTCTAAAATGGGACTAACAAAAGCATTGTGATCTAGAAGTATCTTAGTATTTTTTATTTACTTCTGTACAACGATATATGAGGTACGTAACAGAAATTGCACGGGATATAACATCTATAAGTTAGGTCCCAAAGATGGACCGAAGATTACTCCTTGGCTACATGGTTTTTTGTTATTATAAACACAAATTTTTATGTCGTCTACATCAGTACGTGAACATCTGGGTGAGCCTTCATATCTGTAAATAAGCCGTTAGATGTTGAACAAGAGAGGTGTTAATGCTTCTTCCTGCGGAAGCCCACTTGTGCTTGGGAAGCGTTCAGAATGTTTTTGGCGAACACGACAGTCATATTTCTTTTTGAAGGTAGGACTTAAACAATTTTGATAGATTTCCTCTGATGCAATATTGATTGAGTTTGTATTATCTATTATTTATTGATCTATTATTTATCAAATTTTTCAGAGTTTTTTATGCTGTTTCTCTCTTAAAGACTCAAATTGTAAAGTACTAAGATTTGTATGAAGTTAATCAATATGGGAAAGTATAAAGATGTCCATGAAGACAGCAAGTCAGACCGATCCCATGTCACACTGTTGCAGATCTCTGAATCGTGCGATTTCTACAGCAATGGAAATAAAAAAACAAATTGTGACGGGGAATACCATTGCTACATCCTTCAGCGTGACGAAGTGGATTCAGCATGCCAAAGATACGTGAAATTCTGAGTAGAAAACAGAAATGCACGTCATTTCCACCTTTGATGCGCTGCTTGTTGCGAAATAAAAGTTTTCGTGTTTGTTTCATTTTGGCACGTTTCTATCAATGATAGGGCAGCCGAGTGCGTGAGAAATGATGGTAAAGGTCCCTTAATTGGAATCTCTTAGAAGTTTTTAGTTAATTCAAAAGGAGTATCGTAAATATACGTTTCCAATTACATACAAGTGCACTCTGGGCAAGTGCTACACGACGACATGCAAAAACACGATCTTGTCGTCTCATCTTCAAAACCCCAAAATTTTTTCCCATTGGATTGTAATCAAACGTCTCGGTTACATCGCACACATAACCTATGACCAAGGAATATGAAGAACAGACATGGAGCTGGAGGATCATAGCGCAGTTTTTATTTTATAAGACTGTGTGACTGAAGGTTGTGGTAAGCTTTTTTTGGAAACTTCCTACTACTACGAAATGAAAAAATGATTCGTCTGCAATGCACAGATGACGGTATGGCACGAAATTTGGAGCGTATACGTGCAGTAGGGCACGAAACTAAGTATGAAAAGTCATGAAATATGTGAATAGTGACCGTGGCAAGTAATGAAATATGCGAATAGTGACCCACCTAATCTAAAAAGTTTAGCACAGCTTCCATTTCATATAAGTTTTAGAAATTCTTACATGTTCTACCTTCTCCTACAAGTTCATTATAGGTAACATTTGGTTCTAAAACTCCTTCTCTCGTCCTTGTTAGGATCCGAAATAGCAACGACGCCGCTTCTTTTGGGAAGGAAACCGCGCTCTAATTAAACAAGCGAAGCAGTGGGAAATTGTGAAAATCGATAATGGCAAAGGCGATGTTGTTTCACCAATGTCCATTGCCACCCTCGTGCTGGGACCTGGTCATGAAACACGCATAACAAAAACAAAAAAGCACAAAAGTCTCTGCGAGTTGAAGCTTGCTTGTTATTAGCCATCATTTTTGCAAAACAATCAAGCTTGATTTGCTTTAAAAAATTACCTTTTTAATTTTTGGTATGAGCTCTTGCAAGACGAAGGCGGTCGGTTTCATGTAAGACGTGGCTGTGACGCGGCTGTGACGCAAGTTTCAGCAAGTTTTATCAGTGGTTGCCGCACTTGGAAAAGATGACAAATGTGAAGATGCAATCAAACAAAGAGTTGCTTCTTAAGGCAGCAAGTGAGAATGTGTCTGAAGGGTGCAGGAACTTAGGAGCCGGAGCTTAATAAGCTCGATCAGGCAGTGCCTGCAGATACAGTCATGCTCGTTGTTTCCGATTGCTCCCTAGAACATGGCGACAATCTAAGCCCCGCCCTGAAAACTTGTTTTGGAACCTGGCCAAGAAATGCTGTAAATCCCAATTTAACTTACAGAAATCGGCTTTTAAGCTGAGTTCATACTGATTACTGATTATGTTCTGAAACTGTTCCCGCACAGCTTCAGCACAGTTCTCGCGCTGTGCTGGAACTGTTCTAAAACTGTGATGCATGCGCTGCAGCCGCCCCGCACTGTTTTGAACGGCGGGAGTTGGAGAATTTTCACCGTTCTCAACGGTTTTTCTTTCAGATTTCTTTCATTTTGGCCGTATTCCTCCAACCCGCTTCCCTTTTTGATCAGCAAAACTTCGATTTTGAAGGGGGTTGAAGAACGAGCGCTTTTCTGCTGTGCGAATGCGACAAGAGGCTAGTCCATCCTATCTTTGCTATTTTTGCTTAAAATTACTTCGTTTGTTCTAGGAAGCGCTGCATAGTTTCCATAGCCATCTGTCACGAACTAGAAGGTAGGAGCAATTCTGAATTTGTATGAATTGGGACTTGTCTCTTGTATTCGATGAGTTTCGTTTTTAGGCGTTCTCAGCCCCTGTTCTTTTTCCATATCAGTGCTTCTCCATTCTTTCTTTTACCCCGCTTCTTCTTGTGAGAAAAAAGCTGCGAACTTGGGGCGGATTGAAGGCTGAACGCTGTTTTGCTTTATGTATCCGGGAAGATGGACCTTCGTGCGTTCGTCCAACTTCTCTGCCATTTTTGTTCAGGCCTACTTCATGTGTTCTAGAGACGTGTCTATGTCAATTTCAACATAGATGCGAGACTACGCAGCGCCTCCCTAGATGAGAGGATGGACGAGCAAGAACACATGTTCTGTCGCATACACAGAGCGAAAAGCGCTCATTCTTCAACTCCGCTTCGAAATCGAAGTTCTGCTGGTCAAAAAAGGAAGCGGGGTGGAGGAATAAGGCCAAAATGAGAGAAATTTGAAAGAAAAACGGTTGAGAACGGTCAAAATTTCGCAACTCCCGCCGTTTAAAACGGTGCGGGGCGGCTGCAGCGCATACAGCACAGTTCCGGAACAGTTCCAGCACAGTGCCAGTTTCAAAACATGGGAATTATTATGAACCCAGCCTTCAAGAGAATGGTCAGAAATCGATATGGCCAATCCAAACAACCTGCAGACCTTTTAGATGAAGCTTAAATTGCTAACTTCTCTGTAGTCCATGTTTCCAAGCGCCCATATGGGCAAAGTTATGAGCTCTTAAAAGCCGTTACTTTGCTAGGAAATCGTGCATGCGAAACCTAAATTTGACAGTAAAGGCCTTGTTCGGCTTAATAACCGGCTTAAACGGCTTAATAAATATAATATAGCTGCACAAGAACATGCAGCTGGGTTATATTTTCTCAAACTAAAGGTGGGCTGAAAGTGCGACAGTGTGCTCAATTTTGCAATTCTAAGGTACCATTTTTTCGCCATAAAATTGCTTATAACTTCTTCCACAAAGCGCTACCAGATATTAACTACAGAATTGAAATTAGCGTTAAATACTGCACCGAATGGTGAGCAGCTCAGATGGATTGGCTACTTCTACTTCAGGCCATTCTCAGTTGGTAAAAACCGTCAAAATTATCGTACGATGGTGAAAATAGGCTCAAACGAAAGAGAAAAACCGTATCGTCATCACAAAATATCTACTGATTAAAAGTGGTAGAAAACAACATTATCTTTGCTTAAAACTATTTACGAATGCTGAACTCGCAAAAAACACTAGGAAATCATTCAACAAATTTCAAACATTTCAATAAATTAGGTTAGTGCAAAAATAATGTCCGTTTTGAAAAGTTTCACTTTAAGTTATAACTTTGTTCAGTCCATTTTTAAACTAGTCAAGACCATTAGAAACAGCAAACCTTTCTTAACTTAGCGCATACCTGCTTATACTGATAAAGCAAACGAGAAGAAAACCATGCGTCAAAAAACCGAAACGTTCTCTTTCAAAGACCTCGTTCTTGAACCTTACAACTCGGTTTTGTTCCTATAGCTGATAATCAGCTCGTTTTGAAGACGCAAGCCAGTAGTGTGTGTATGTACAGAAAACACCACAACGAAAGAGTGCGAAAAGAAAAGATAAAATTCCAAAATTGTCCACCTTTTTGAGCCGGTTTTTGTTGAGCTCGAAAGTCCCAAATCATGAAAATTTGGAATTCTCCATGCACTGTATAGTTGAGTTTCTCTGCGAAAATTGTAGGCAAGATGTCCTAATCTCAAGCTTACAGGAATGAGCGAAGTTTTGGCGATTGCTTCAATCATGAAAATTTTTGACTAGTATAATGCCAGCAGCAAGTATTCGTCTTGGGGCGTCTTTTAGTCCAGATACTTTCGAAAAATCTACTTAATGCAATGTGTAAACAATATTTATCCCCAGTTATTTTGCTATGCTTTTAAAAGAATTCGTTCATTTACGCCTTGTGGCCAAGGAGGTGACAGCAACGAAATTTCGATTTTGAGTGCAGTTGTGCGAGATGCTGGTGAAATTCTTTCAAAATGGAAGCTTAATTTCACAACTTTTGGAAAGCGCATGAACAAAGCTTTCCAATTATATGCAGAATCTATACCGAAAACGAAATTTTGAGAGAAAAAAGTTGTCTGGAAAGTGGGCCTAAAAAACGGGCATTATTTTTGCGCCAACCTAATAGTTTATTCAAGTGCTAAATTCAGGCAAAATGCCAAATAATCAAAAAGACTGTAATGATTGAACTTATTGTGAAATTCACCTTACCGTATCAAAATCAGCTAAGGCTCCGATTCATTTCAGTTCAGTTCAGGAACAGAATTGGGGTCTGGATAAAATTGTTGCAGCTGATGCTGCATGTGGAATGGAAAAGATCGTCGTAAGACATGGGAAGTTGAGATTATAAGCAGTAACGATAAGTGATTTCCATACTTTATGTTACTATTCACAAAGACAATTGTGCCTTAGACTGTTTTTTCCTACCTTTTTCTGCCCTAGATTGAGATTATTGCTTACAGCATATTAATCGGATATTCGCTCGCACAACATTGACATTGTCGTTGACAGACGATCATTGGTCAACAATACCAACATTGATAACATGAATAAAACACTAAATCAAATATGAAAATGATTATGACTAGAACTAACTGTACCTACTCAGAATTTGAGTTTTGAAAGTCCATTCAATATAGATTTGAGCGTGAGTCTCTTCGAACAAAAGTTCACTTTTCTTGCATTTGAACTCGACCTTAAAAAATTTCCGAAAATATTGAGTTGGAAACTAAGTTTTGCAATTGTTTTCATAACTTGGTTCTCTTCGAATATGTTGCACTCAAACTTTGGCTATGTGTAGACCTCAATGTGTTCTACAACCATGCACGAACCGTTTGATTTTTGAAAACGAAATAAGAAAATCACAGCACTTTTCCAAAAATAGTTAATTTCGAGGATTTATGAGGTTTTAAGCAAAAATGAAGCCGTTTGCGACCAACATCATACATAATGATCCGAAACTATATGTGAACTAATGCCTGTAGTTGTCAATTTGGAAGACAAGTCAATTTATAGCGCCCTCACAAAGTTGAAGTAACCAAGCCTGATGGGGACAGCCATCAATGACTAAGGAGTGGAAACGTCAAAATCCGCGGAGACTTCACATAGTGAGGTTATTCGACCTGCTAAACACTAATATCATTTTCGTTTGTTAAATTAAAGTTTTTCTATTGTTTAAGGTGAGACCCCATATACCGTTAAACAGCAGTAATCTTACCAA